TCTGCTCCAGCTCTATTCTAACATGGGCCTATAATGGGTCATATTACATGTATATTGTTATGATGTGATAAGTGACCGAATGAGAAGATGCCCATTATCTAGATAGATTTTAATTGCCTGTATACAGGGAGCCCTCAAGGGGCAAACGCACCAGAGGGCGCCCAGTAATGACTTACATTGTCCAGTTAGAAAAAGACACCTGCCTACCAAGACAGGAGCTCCCAAAGATCATGGAGAATAGAACTGAATGGAAAAAGCTTGTCAAATCAGTGCGAGTACGCTCGACCCAGCTTGTAGTAGTATACAGTAGACATTATCCAATATAACAATAACGTTCCTTTATCGAAAGAGTATGTAAATTCGTAAAATGTACGTAAATTATATGCTTCTTGCACTATTTAATTGTTTTCTCTTTGATATTTCATTATATAATTGGTACCACAAAATCAAATATTAATATAGAATACAGACAAACTGTTGAAGAATTTTTTTTTGTGGCTCATTGTTTTTGCGATTTATTCTAATGAGTGTAAAATGAATCTCTGTCGTATATCAGTATTCGTTGCTATATTTGTTGATTGATATAACATTTGTTTGTGTGTGTGACAAAGCACATACTGACTGAATATTGTACTTTAGAGCCGAAAAGTATTTTTAAACTTCTGTTTTTTTTTCACCAAGTCGAACTTCACTCTAAGTTGGATTTAAATATTATGGAGAGCCATAAAGCCTTAAAATTAAATATATTAAAAACCAAAAAATGAAGTATTTTAGACTTGTTATAAATTCCACATCAAGAACATGAAATCTCCTTACATATGAATGATTTGAATTAACATGTTATGCCTTTTAAAATAACTTTTACAAAATATTTTCATAGATGCTAACTGCTTTCCATAATTTGTAAGTCCAACTTAGAGATAAGTTCAACTTAGGATATTTGTGAAACGCCCCCCTGGTATCAATATTCCCTTATCCCTTTACCTTCTGTTTCATTGTAGTATAATTTAATGCTACTTAGAAGCAATTCAAAACTTTAGAGACTTTGAAGTTGAATTTAAGGGGTACCTATCACTTGAGACGCAAGAAAGAGAAACAAGTGATCCGATATCGTAATGTTTAACTTGAAAATTGATATAATATTGATAAACTTCGTGTTGGTAACATTTCTATAATGTCGTTATTTACAAGTATATACAAGTTTATTTTGTTTCTGCTTCTATTTCTTGATTTTGAATTTAATTACTTTTTTCTTTAAATGAACACATAATTAGTAATGACTTTGTAAATAGGCCCCCATTGTACAAAAAGCTTTCAAGGGTCATCCTGTCAAGCTATTGGTATTACTGTTTTGGTTTCATTTCATAATATCATTTTACTCTTTGTAGTTATGCTACATTGAACTTGACTAATACATCGAATCGAATTTGTTTAGAAGCCTTACAGGACCGTGGTGTAAATATTGCTGCATTCCATTACAAAATCCTTCGTGTTCATTTTGTACCCTTTCTGGAAAGCCATTAAATGTAATGCTCTTGGGACTGATGATATGACAGATTTGTTTGCTTTCATGTGGGGAAGAACAATGTATAACGAGACGAAGAGGAAGGACATAAAGGAAGAATAGTCGAGAAACGGGGGGAGGGGGTGGAGTTATAGTGTAGTTGCCGTCCTTTAGTCTTCCAAATATATTGTAGTAATGGAAGCAAACAAACACGTCTTGCTCTATTATCCAAGATTCTAATAAAGTGGATCTTCAACATAATATATACACTACTGAAAGCCTAAATAATATAAGTCGCCCTCTATGGAACCAATCCCGACCTTGGCTTTCTTTCTCTATCATTTTTTTGTGTTTAGATAATGTCCCTACAACTTCTTCCTGACAAAGTTTGGAGCATGGGTATAGATGTGGTGACCCAATGTGATCGACTTGCATTCCCTTTACGGTGCACAAGCCCGAGGACAATGTTCAGGTTGACACATTTTAGTAGATGGCATGGATGGTTAAAGATAAAGTTGAGCTCTGGTCATGCGATTGTATTGTGAAAAAACAGTGTGGAATCGAGAAAAGGTTTAGCATGTAAGTATTGGTGTGTACTGCAAGGTTCTGGAATCATCAAAATGATAAGAAATTTGGCCCAGTCTAGTTTAAGTTACAATCACTGTACACAGAAAGATGTATATGGGGTTACACGGACATGTGGCGTAAAAATCCGTCCCGATTTTTTATGCTGTTACATGCCATATTTAGAATATTAAGGCATTTAAAGAGCCACGCTTTTCAAGGAAAATTTTTAAGGTGATGTTCTTCCACACTTGCATAATAACAATGATAACGCTCACAAATTATTGTTCACCTCTTCTCAGAATTCAACCTTCTCTTTAAGTAAGTTTTTTCGGTCAATTATTGTATGGGGAATGTGGGACGACTATTCGGGACTGACTACTGGCTCCAGTACTGTTTCTTATACAGTTTTGTTAAGTACCTTTAAAAAATAAATCCAACCTTTATATCAAACTACTCTGGGTGAAAGGAGAAAAATCAGAAAAGTAAACTGGTGACAGTTCTAATGAAGTTGGACAAAATGAAAAAGTTATGAATTGTTTAAAGTTGTAAACACTATAGATATGGGCTCTTAAAATTGGCTGAATCGGTTATGTCTCTGTGATGTAATGGTGGACAACTTTCCCATTTGTTCCAACACAGAAAATGACTAAACAAAAATCAAAATATTATGACTCAGCATGGTCAATTCTCCTTAGAGGACCTATACCATTATGCTATCCATAATATATTTTTAGTAGTGCCCCAAGGGAGAAGACGGTTAGGCGAAAAACAGGTATATGTGGATATTTCTTTTAACACGACAAACGGGAGAGTTATCAGTCACTACGTTATAATCCATTGACCATTCTGCCAATTTGAGATACACTTTCATACAAATAAACTTGTTACAAAGGGTCGATTGCCCTTAAACAAATCGATTTGTTTTCCCCTCTGTTTTTCTTAACTTTGAAAATAGTTATAGAAAGTATGTATACGCTGTAAATGTTGCCTATATTGTTACATTAACAATGTTCATTTTTCTTTATATAAACATAGTATTGTTGACATATTATACTGGATATATGTTTAGAAGATCTAGATTATACTTGTCTTATGTGATATTGATATATGTTAAGTAAGTATCCTGTTGTTATTACTGTTAGCCTATACAAATTAAAATCACAAGAATAGCACAATTTCTGAGTAGAACAAACTACAGATTTCTAATTGCTTAGTCGTTATTGAGGTGATAAAAGAAATCTATCAATGCAAGAAGACGTAGAATTCCGTTATATTGATCCTTATCAGCTTTGATCACATTTCCTGTCTATACGCTGTAAAATATGAATGGAAGGGCATATCAAAACTAACAAATTAACATTGACGGAATTGCACGTAATATAGACTTTGGTAAAATTAAGATGTATAGGAGAAAGAGAGAGAAAGATAGCTTGAGATAAAGAGAAACAGGGAGAGAGAGAAAAAAATTAGAGTGTGTGAGAGAGACGGAGAGGGAGAGAGAGATAATGAAATATTCAAATTTGCATCTTCCTTTTTATCTTTATATATCAGATTGAAATCCAACTACCATAAATCTGTGAATATTGATGTACATCCCCTCATTCCTTTTTTCTTCTTTTTTCTGTCTTTTTCCCCTTTTACCATTGTTTTTTCCTGCATATTTGTATTATTATGTATTCTTTGAGGGAAGTCATTCTATCAAGCTTTGCTTACTTTGTCAACCCTTTACTTTGTTAACTGTTTAATGTTTTCGATTAGTTACAGCCAGCCTTACTTTATTTTACATATATTCTTTTGTCATGTGTAAATTTACAATGTTTATTTGTTATACATTTGTAAAAATGCAAAAGAAAAAGAAAATCAAACAGAAATAAATAAAGCAAATCAAATCAAATCAAATAAAGAAAGAAAGAGACAAAGTTATAACCGACAGCATGATGATAAGAGTAACATGAATTCGTTATTTCATGGACCCATGTTCTATGGTCCATTCAAGATTCTTTTTCAAATAAATCATAATTCAGGGCAATACGGGCTATAGTTGCACATTCAATTTGATAACCCTGTTTACATTATTAGGTCTTGAGACAGACATGATTCACATTATCATGGTTAAAGCCTTAGTCATAACATTTGTTATACCAGAGAAGAAGTGGTGAAGTATTTGTTCATACAAATCATATACTGTAAGGAAGGCTGTAGCCTCGTAGCAATCTGTACGCAAGCATTTGAATTATTGAATGACAAAATTAATATACATGTATACACAGAAAGAGAGAAGTGGAAGAAGAATAGTGGAGAAAGAAAGGGTGAAATATAAGTGTAGTCCTAATCTTTTACCCTTCTAAACAGAGTAATGAAGACAAATAAAATGCTCTAACATCGAGGATTATACTAGAGTGAATCTCCAGCATAATATTATATCCACCGCTAAAAACCTAAATAAGTCGCCCTCTATAGAAATAATGATGAATACTGCCATAAAGTTCAAAGGTGCTTATATCCTGCGAGCGCTCTCTGTGGGAAAACCCACTGCTATTCATAGGATGCACCAACTGCATATATTATGCACAGTAGATCTTCTCAAGTGTGATTTTACTATTATAACCTTATTTGTATTCAGGTACATATTTGAATAGAGAATTAATACGTTTGATCAAAGTTAGACGCACCTCTCTTGACACATAGTTTAATCAACGTTGGAACTGGGTACAGAACTGCATGCAGTTAGGACGTACTTGTTGCGTAGATTCGAATATTGGTAAAGTCTACTACGTTACTGCATATAGTTAGAGCTTGCATGAACTGACTGTTGGCTTCTAGTGCACATCAGCTGATCAGACTTTTGAGTTTTATTGGACATGAATTGGATATAGACGTAGAATGAGCTCGTGTTTGTAATAAACCAGAAATCATAATATTTGTAGCAATGGCTGAGAAGACTGAGCAAAAGAAAGCACCAAGCTCTTTAGAGAACCTGACGTGTCCACTATGTCTTGATTTCTTCTACGAGGCAACCATCCTGACTTCATGCGGACACACCTTCTGTCGGAAATGTCTCAAGAACTATGACCTTTCCCACCAGGATCGCGATCACATGATCTGTCCTCTTTGCAGGAAGATCACCAAGTTGTCTGCGAACCGTGTTGATGGTTGGATGAACGCTGTCCTTGAGATGAGTCCAAAATGCACTGCTTGCATGGCTCAGCAAGATGCTGTCTCATTCTGCTGTACATGTAATGACTACATTTGTGATAAGTGTCTGGATTGTCATAAAAATCTTAGAGTCTTTAAAAGTCATGATATTGTATCCATACAGGATATCAACAACGGGAAGGTCAGTATTGGTCATCTATCCGAGAAGTGCTGCATCCACGAACAAGAGAACAAAGATATGTTTTGTGAGGACTGTAAGGTCCATGTCTGTCTCAAGTGCGTGATCGTCGGTCATCAAATTCACAACATCAAGAATCAGGCTGACTTCGAAAAGCAGTTACGTCTAAAGGTAATTGGGATTATTTGACAAAGCATTATGGCGTTTGGCTTCGGCCTGACAAGTTGTACTCATACAATTCCGATAGGGGAAGGTACCATACGCGCCGAAAGTGGCGACAGAGGTGTTTATTATGTTTCTAAAACCATGTCTCCAATGTAGACACCGCAAGCGTGGAAGCATATTCTCTTATCTATTAAATGGTGGTGGCAAAATGAGATTCCCCCCTTGATAACAATAAATACTCTGCAGCAAAGCCCTATCCGATATAGACCTCTAAAATTTAACAATTCTAAAACCTAAATTTACTCCGTTATTGGTCCCTGCCATCCCTCAAAAAAATACAGAAAGAAGTGAAATCCTGTGTTTATACTAAGAAAACCTGTCTCCAAGAGGCAGCATAATCTAAAGGGGGCATATTATTCCCTCTATCGGGGGTGGAGCCAAATCGATTCTGTCCCCTTCCCTTCCCAAGGCAAAATATCTTTAAATACAGAGCAGGATTTGCTTTTTCCGCTCCCTTGCCAGACAAAAAACTTTCGACATCATCAATTTTGCAGTATAACCATACAGAAGAGGTTCTAATTTACAAAACAAAGAGTCCCCATTCCAAATTCGAAAATTCTCTTTCGTTCGCTACTCTCTCTCGCACATTAATAGATGTTCCAGAAGCATCAAAGCGAGGAGGCTATTTTTTTTTTCTATCAAGGTGGCGGCTTATAATTGTCCACCCCTTTACCGTAAGGCACAATTTCGCCGTATATCGATTAGCTTTTAATAGTTCTTAAAATATTTTTTTTATTGCAACATACAGTGATCTTACTTTTCATGTTTTCAGTAACACATGAAATGGCTGTGTGGTATAACGATGGTTAGTAATCTGCTGTAGCTTTAAAATACAAAAAAGCTCTACGCTAAGGCCCCAAAGTTCTCGGAGAGAGCTTTCCACTAAAAAGGGGGAAAGGCAAAGGCCCCCGCCGGCGCTCAAGACAATAACACAATTAAAATTGATAATATTGCAAAATAGAAAGGCTTTTAGGGTGATCACACTGCCTGTGCAAACAGTCTGCCCCGCGAACACACACACACACAACAGCAGTCAGTTGGTAGAAATAGCAATTTTTGTAAATGTATTTTTAAAAAACTAAACAATATTTTACAATTTGTATTTCACATATATTTCAAGCATACCTTTAACCACAATTCCGTGTAGTTTTATTGTTATAGGCATGTGGGAAATATGTTAATTATTTAATCAGAAAATTGTCTTTACAGCCATGTGTGACATGGCCCGCTGATCGCCCATTGACTTGCGCTGCTATTCTGCGTGGTGAAATTGCACCTCAATGTATAAAATTCCCCTACAAAAATGTTTTATCCTCATGTGTTTCACTCATTAAATCAATTTGTTATTTACACTCAAGGTAGCCACAACTGTACTGGGCAGGGCTCAAATTAATTTTTTTTCAACGGGGGCTCTTCCCCCCCAAAAAAGAGCCCCCGTGAGCCTTCTCACGGGGGCTCTTTTAGTGCCGACGGGGGCTCTTTAATACAAATTTCCATTGAATTGGTACCCATGAAACTCCTAAATTCCTTGGTATTTTATCATTATCATTAAAGTCGGCATTTTCCCTCTTAGAAATTTACTTGTTACTTAGCTGTTATTGACTTTTATCCCCGTGATGACATTCTCTCCATTTCTTCCCGTTCTGCACATATACTTCCTCCTCATTATTCGGAGCAACCTTATTTACATTCTTTTTTACTTTTAGTCTTTCACATATCCTTCCAAAACACAGGGGCGGAACTAGCTTTTTGCTAAGGGTGGGGGGGGGGGGGGGGTAACCCAAATACGATGTGGAGCATCGTCCACGAGCCGCATAGCGGCGAGGCGATTTTTGTTGTTGCTATTTTGAACCCCCGTGAGTGATGTTTTCCTGGCATCTACTGACATCTACTAATACTGTGTAGGTCTGGACACATGATAGCATTTTTCTATGCACATCACATTTTCACTTGGCAGCCCAAGGGGGAGAGCGGGGTAAATTAAACCCCCTAAACTGCATAGATCGGATTAGATCCGCCCCTGCAACATCTTTGGTCTTCTTCTTCTTCTCAATATTGATTTACTGGCCGAGTTACATCATTTGCTGGTCTTTTAGAATCACCAGATTTCAGAGGATTCACACTTTTCACAACGAAAAACTTCTCCCGTTTCAATCCTTGCGCAATAGTCTCCAGCTCCAGCAGATATTGGGCGTCAGCGTGCACACCGGTAATACCGGCGCAGTATAGCCACTGCTAACGGCCGTACTACTAGCTGCACTGCGAGCTTCCGTTGTTTGTATCGGTAATACTCATATCGGATGGGAGAGAAAGCGCCATCTAAGTTCCATTTCATTGGTTTAACGTTTGAAAATTGATACTCAATATTGTGTTAAAGTTATATCAGAAAACATAATCTTTATTTTATAATTCCACGGGGGCGATTTTTAATTTTGCAATCGCCCCAGTGAGCAACCTGAGGGGGGCGATTATGGAGCTCACGAGGGCGAATCGCCCATCGCCCCCGTGTATTTTGAGCGCTGGTCCTGGGGTCACCAACATTTTTGCTACTCTGAAATTCAGTCCCTGTGGAATGTTATGGCCTGTTGAATGGTTTCTCGGAAAATCATCATAAATCCTCAAATCTGACATCTTTTAAATCGGCAAATATACTGTGATGTAGGTAAAAGTCTACACATTTTTAGCATATGATCGACTTTTCTGAATAATTTGTGAAACACATGAGGAAATAGTAATTTCCGTCGCTATATTTTATTGGCATTGCAAAAATATTTGGAAATTAAGGTTAATATTTGGTGTAAAAATGATCTATGAATATATGATTTTAAAAATGCCCCAAAAATGAACAGTTTGACTTTCCTAATTTGCATAATGAGTGCGCGAATATATAATTAGCTAAGATGACCTAATTTGCATATTTGATGAATATTCATGATTTTTTTAAATTTCAAATGAAATATATTTCCATACCTGTCTGATATACATAGGTTTCACTGATGTATCATGTTCGGTTTTGATTTGATTACATATGCGCATATTAATTAGGCGGACTTATTATTTTCCCAACTTTTTTATATCTGCAGATTCGCAAAAATGGCAAAAATTACTTATTTTGTTGGCTTCTGTTTTAAAAACGGTAATAGCTATAAGAATTTTCTTTTTGTATTTTTTACCACAAAGATGATATTTAAGTGTCTGATAATTTAATTTATTATTTGTGTCCAAGAAAGTGATGAATTAAGTTGTCAACTTTGTCGAATTATGCCATTTTTGCCAATTTGACCATTTTTGGCAGGTTTTTCGGTAATTTTGCGATATAAGAAAAAATGGTATAAAATCACAACGCATTGACCGATTTTAATTTTGTTTTTTGTTTTTTGAAGCTTTCATAAAGCTTGTTCATTTGCAACCATCAAATAACATGTGTTTGTTGTAATTATTTTTGGTGTGCTATACCTACTTTTAAGTGCTGTAAAATACGTTTTCAACTTTCCAAATACACTGAAGCTATCTATTTCCTCTCGGTCATTAGGCTTCCTCGCAATGTTAATAGTTTGAATGTTTCTTATCATTGTACAATTCTTGTCTACTATATAATGCGCTTGAAGCGGGTACGATGAGAAGATCAATGCTTCTCTCGGGTAAAGGGGATGGGACAACGCTTCCGCCACCCCCTCTCATAAGACATGAAGTTCTTTATGTTGCTCGCATATCCTCACTCTTATGAAAATCATTAATTTTAAGTAGGCTGGGATTTTCCGTTGTGTTTCAAATTATATTTGATTACACTTTTCAATTTCACAAAAGCAATTGCTTCGCTCGGTCGCTACATTCCCTCGCGTAATAATAAATTTTCTGTCGAATTATATAATCCTGAACATTATAGAAACACTTTTAAATGAAGTATATTATATTAAAATGATAACCTTAAACATGCTTCAATTTGAAATATATTAAATCTGCTTCTGTGTTTTAAAACACATGGTTAAAAAATCCAATACTACAAAATAAAAGGAATGCAAACTATTTTTCTCTTTCTTTTGTTGAAAATTCAAAACGCTATTCTTTATAAATATGAAGAAACATTTGTATGAAAGGAGAAATTGTTACTGAGGAGCCCCCCCCCCCCCCCCCCCCCCCACTCCGGGAACGGAGGGACCGCATTCATGTTCCCAAAATGTACGCTAAAGGGGTACTTTTGACGCAACAACGTCCGGCTCGTAACACGCAAATAATCAGCTGGTGTTTAATTTTCCAACCAGCTCGATGTAAATGGCTTACATCTCATTTAACAATTTTTGTTTTCTTCTTCAATTCTCTTTTATTTCTTTTGTTTAGGTGAACGACCTAGTCCAGCGATGTGCCACTAAGAAATCAGAACTGGAGAAGAACATTCAGAATGTGGAAGTGCAACGTAATGAAGTATTTACTGCCGTGCAGAAACTACTGAATGATGTCAGTCAAGCCTACAGCATCAAGGCTAAAGAGCTTGAAGAAAATCATCGAAATCTCATCGAGCAAATCAATGCAGTAAAGCGGAGTTTCGATGACGAACTCAACGTCTTGAAATACAAGGATCGACAGAGGATCAAGAGTATTTGTAGTTCAATAACACTGGTAGCTAATGACAGACTGGGTCGTCTTGAGACGGACAGTCTGTCTGCTCATACCCTGCTCTGTGATGAGCTGGATGCCATGCTGAGGGAGGCTACTGATAACACTTCTGCGGCAGCCATTACAAAGAAAGCACAGGAGACGAGGTTCAAGCCTGCATATCATACTCGTCTTGACCTCGGGAGCGTCTCAGAATCAGATCCCAAGTTGCAAGTCATTCAATGTGTAGATCTACGGGGATGCATGCATGGAATGACCCAGTACTCTGATGACGGTGTGACTATCGGATATTGGGATTCACATGATATAGATACCATTGATTCAGCTGGTAAACAAGAGCAGTATGCAAATATACCAACTAATAAGAAGTGTTATGATCTTGTGTTTCAACAAGACAGGTCGTTATGCATATCGATGGGCCCCAGGGAAGTACACATATATTATCCCAATGGATCCAGGAAATCAACTATCCACGTGACTAGCAATGACCATTCTCCCAGATTAAACAGAAGTCCCTCAGATGAAATCCTCATCGCTAACAATGGGAAGAAAGTCTACATCTATGACCCGACTGGATCCACTCTCAAACATACTATTTCAACAAAACACAACATGACGACCCAGGTATCTGCTACCAGGTCGGGTTTGATCGTCACGAGTTCATGTAAATACACCAGTCCAAGCGTGGTGACGGTCTATGCCAGGGATAGTAATGCTGGTCAGTCTCTACAGGCTCCAGATGATGTCCATCTTTATGCTGCCGTGGATGAGCAGGACAGGGTGTATGTAGCGAGTGTTGATCGTAAGAAGGGTCATATTGTGATTAGGCTCTATGACCTTAATGGTCTGAACCTGAAGGAAAGAGTTGAGTTCAATGTACTTAATCTGACGCTTGAAGATCCTTGGTGTTACTTGGTTTCCCTTTCTCCAGACATGCTCGCGTTTGCTTGTAACAAGAAGTTGTATTTTATCAAAGTATCACTGTAATCCATCTCACAATCTATCGATACCTCTCTGCTCCAGCTCTATTCTAATATGGGCCTATAATGTGTCATATTACATGTATATTGTTTATTATGTGATTACAGACCAAACGAGAAGATGCCCATTCTCTAGAAAGATTTTACAGTGAACATTATCCAATATAACAATAACGTACGTCCCTCTATCCGAATAGTATGTACATTCGTAAAATGTACGTAAATTATATACTTCTTGCATTGTTTAATTGTTTTCTCTTTGATATTTTATTATATGATTGGTACCACAAAATCAAAGATTAATATAGAATACAGAAACACTGTTGATTTTTTTTCGTTTTGGCTCATTGTTTTGGCGATTTACTCTAATGAGAGCAAAATGAATCTCTGTCGTAAAGCAATATTCGTTGTTATATTCTTTGATTTATATTTAATTTGTTTTTGTGTGTGACAAAGCACATACTGACTTAATATTGTACTTTGGAGCCGAAAAGTATTTTTTAAACTTCTAGTATCAATATTCCCTTATCCCTTTTCCTTCTGTTTCATTGTAGCATAATTTAATGCTACTTAAAAGTAATTCATAATTTTAGAGACTTTGAAGTTGAATGTAAGAGGTATATATAATTATGTTTCTATCACTTGAGACGCAAGAAAGAGAAGCAAGTAATCTGATATCGTAATGTATAACTTGAAAATTGATATAATATTGATAACCTTCAAAGAAATTTATTTCGTTTCTGCTTCTATTTCTTGATTTTTAATTTAATTACTTTTTTCTTTAAATTAACAAATTATTAGTACTGACTTTGTAAAAAGACCCCCATTGTACAAAAAGCTTTTCAGCTGTCAAGGGTCATCCTGTCAAGTTATTGGTATTACTGTTTTGGTTTCATTTCATAATATCATTTTACTCTTCGTAGTTATGCTACATTGTACTTGGCTAATACATCAAGTCGAATTTGTTTAAAAGCCTTACAGGACCGTGGTGTATTTATTGCTGCATTCCATTACAAAAATCCTTCGTGTTTATTTTGCACCCTTTCTGGAAAGCCGTTAAATGGTATGCTCTGGGGACTGATGATATGACAGGTTTGTTTGCTATCATGTGGTGAAGAACAATTTATAAAAAGACGAAGAGGATGGACATAAAGGAAGAATAGTCGAGAAACGGGGGGGGGGTGTAGCTATAGTGTAGTTGCCGTCCTTTACTCCAATAAATATATTGTAGTAATGGAAGCAAACAAAAACGTCTTGTTCTATTATCCAGGATTTTAATAAAGTGGATCTCCAACACAATATATACACTACTGAAATCCTAAATAAGTCGCCCTCTATAGAACCAATCCCGACCTTAGACTTTCTTTTCTATCAGTTTTTGTGTCGAGATAATGTCCCTACAACTTCTTCCTGACAAAGTTTGGTGCATGGGTATAGATGCGGTGACCCAATGTGTTCGACTTGCATTCCCTTTTCGGGGACCAAACCCGAGGACTATGTTCAGGTTGACATTTTTTCGTAGATAGCATGGATATTCTAAGTAAGTTTGTTCGGTCAATTGTATGGGGACAGTGGGACTATTTCGGGACAGACTACTGGCTCCGGTACTGTTTCTTACAAAGTTTTGTGACTCGGTAACATTGTTGAAGGTAGATGAAAAAATTGTGTAATTTTTGTATGAAATGTTACTTATATTTTATTCCTTCTACTGTACTTACCCTGTAACAGGCAAAAATTCTGAGAAAATCTTCAAACCACCAAGATATTTATGGTTTTCTATGAAGGTGTCACTGTGCAACACATCCTAACACCTTCCAACCGTTTTTCCTTGAAAGTAGGTCATAAAAAGGCTATACAAAAATCTGTCAACACTTAAATGTCCGGAATGGTATATAGAGCCAATTCATTGCTTTGTGACGATTTACATTCACCTAAAATGTAATTAAATTGTAATAATATAGTTGGGAGAATTAAGGATTCGATCGGATCAGTTTTTCCCAATTTCTATCGTTAATAATGGTCCGTTTTCACTCAAAAATTTCAGATTGTCTTTAATTGTACATCTAGTATTGAGTTCACTACCTTAGCACCACTATCTCACATCTGAACAATGCTACTAAGTCCCTTTACAGGGAAATCCAACCTTTATAATTATATCAAACCACTCTAGAGGACAAGGGAACATCATAAAAGTTGACTGAAATCGGACAAAAATGGGAAAGCTATGAATTGTCTAAAGTTTTAATCACTGCAGATATAGGATCTTTCAATAGGCTGAATCGGTTATGTCTCTGTGTTGTAGCTGCGGGCAACTTGCCCATTCGATCCAACACTCAAAGTGACTAAGACAATATTTCCACAATGTAATTATTCAGGAGGGTCTATTCTCTTAATAGTACCTATAACAATATCCTATCCATAATATAGAGCTCCAAGGGAGAAGGCGCTTAGGCGAGAAAGAGATATATTATATTTTGTACACGACAGACGGGAGAGTTATTAGTCACAATCCACTGACTAATTTGCCAATATGAGATGCACATAAACTTAGTGATGTCATATTTAAAATACTCATAACTTTCTTATCATTGGAAATAGTTATTGAGAGTATGTATACGCTCTAAATGTTGCCTATATTATTACATTAACAATGTTTATTTTTCTTTGTATAAACACAGTATTGTTGACATATTATACTGGATATATGTTTAGAAGATCTATATTATACTTGTATGTGATATTGATATATGTTCAGTAAGTATCCTGTTGTTATTACTGTAAGCCTATCCAAATTAAAATCACAAGAATAGCACATTTTCTGAGTATAACAAAACTGCAGATTTCTAATTGCTTAGTCGTTATTGAGGTGATAAAAGAAATCTATCAATGCAAGAAGACGTAGAATTCCGTTATATTGATCCTTATTATCAGCTTTGATCACATTTCCTGTCCATACGCTGTAAAATTTGAATTGAAGGGCATATATAAACTAACAAATTAACATTTTGAAAGAGACACATCAATATTCAAGATACTCGTCGACGGAATTGCGCGTAATATATACTTTAGTACAATTAAGATGTATAGGAGAAAGAGAGAGAGAAAAAAAGGCATGAGATAAAGAGACACAGGGAGAGAGAGAGAGAGAGAGAGAGAAAAGAAAAAAATAGAGTGTGTGAGAGGGAGGGAGAGGGAAAGAGAGAGAGATAATAAAATAAAGAAAAAAAGATAGAAATTTATAACCGACAGAATGATGATAACAGTAAAATGAATTCGTTATTTCATGGACTCATGTTGTAGGGTCTATGTAAAATTCTTTTCAAATAAACCGTATTTCGGTGCAATAGGAGCTATAATAACATATTCAATTTGATATCACTTTTACATCATCAGCTCTTAAGACAGACATGATTCCCATGTTCATGGTTACAGCCTAAATCATGAGGTTTTTAACGAGAGAGAAAGTGGTGAAATATAGGAACGTTGTATAGCCTCGTAGCAATCTCTGCGCAAGAATTGGAATTATTGAATGAAAAAGATGTATAGAAGGAGAAAAGTGGAAGGAGCTAAATGAAGAATAGTGGAGAAAGAAGGGGTGAAATATAAATGTAGTTCTGATCCTTTACCCTTCTAAACAGAGTAATGAAGACAAATAAAATGCTCTAACATCGAAGATTCTACTAGAGTGGATCTCCAACATAATATTATATCCACCGCCGAAAAACTACTGAAAACCTACATAAGTCGCCCTCTATAGAAAAAAATGATGAATACCGCCATAAAGTTCAAAGGTGCTTATACGCTGCGAGCGCTCTCTGTGGGAAAACCCACTGCTATTTATAGGATGCACAAACTGCATATATGCACAGTAGATCTACTCAAGTGTGATTTTACCATTATAACCTATGATTTGTATTCACGTACACATTTGAATAGAGAATTAATACTTCTGATCAAAGTTAGACGCACCTCTTTCGACACAGATTTTATATAATCAACGTGAGAACTTGGTACAGAACTGCATGCAGTTAGGACGCAATTGTTGCGTAGAGTCGAATATTGGTAAAGTCTGCTACGTTACTGCATATAGTTAGAGATTGCATGAACTGAGTATTGGCTTCTGGTACACGTCAGCTGATATCAGACTTTTAGGTTTTATTGGAAATCAATTGGATATAGACGTAGAATGAGCTCGTGTTTGTAATAAGCCAGAAATCTGATATTTGTACCAATGGCTGAGAAGACTGAGGAAAAGAAAGCACCAAGCTCTTTAGAGAACCTGACGTGTCCACTATGTCTTGATATCTTCGACGAGGCAACCATCTTGACTTTATGCGGACACACCTTCTGTCGGAAATGTCTCAAGAACTATGACCTGTCCCACCAGGATCTCGATCACATGATCTGTCCTCTCTGCAGGAAGATCACCAAGTTATCTGCGAACCGTGTCGATGATTTCCTCATCAATATGACTGTCAACGGACTTGTAGACAATTACCATGCCGAGTGTGGAGGGATGAACGCTGTCCTTGAGATGCGTCCGAAATGCACTGCTTGCATGGTTCAGCAAGATGCTGTCTCATTTTGCTGTACATGTAATAACTACATTTGTGATAAGTGTCTGGATTGTCATAAACATCTTAGAGCCTATAAAAGTCATGATATTATATCCATACAGGATATCAACAACGGGAAGGTCAGTATTGGTCATCTATCCGAGAAGTGCTGCATCCACGAACAAGAGAACAAAGATATGTTTTGTGAGGACTGTAAGGTCCATGTCTGTCTCAAGTGCGTGATCGTCGGTCATCAAAATCACAACATCAAGAATCAGGCTGACTTCGAGAAGCAGTTACGTCTAAAGGTAAGTGGGATCATTTTGACAAAGCATTATTGCGTTTAGCTTCGGCCTGACAAGTTGTACTCATACAATTCCGATAGGGGAAGGTACCATACGCGCCCAAAGTGACGACATAGGTGTTTATTATGTGTCCTAACCATGTTTCCAATGTAGACACCGCAAGCATGGAAGCATACTCTCTTTAGTCTCTATTATCTATCAAAGGGTGGTGGCAATCTTTTACCCCCTTATTAACAATAAATACTTTGCAGCAAAGCCCTATTGGCATATAAGACCTCTAAAATGCAGAATTTAACAATTCTAAAACCTAAATTTACTCAGTTATTGGTCGCTGCCATCCCTTAGAAAATACAGAAATCCTGTGTTTATACTAAGAAAACTTGTCTCCAGGAGGCAGCAAAAGCTATAGGGGTCATATTATTCCCTCTATCGGGGGTGGAGCAAAATTGATTCTGTTCCCTTACCTTCCCAAGACAAAATATCTTTAAATACAGAGGAGGATTTGCTTTTTCCGCTCCCTTGCCAGACAAAAACTTTCGACATCATCAATTTTGCAGTCACATATAACCATACAAAAGAGGTTCTAATTTACAAATCAAAGAGTCCCCATTCCAAATTCGAAAATTCTCTTTCGTTCGCTACTCTCTCTCGCACATTAATAGATGCACACTTTCTTCCAGATGTTCCAGAAGCATCAAAGCGAGGAGGCTATTTTTTCTATTAAGGTTGGGGCTTATTATTTTCCCCGATTTACAAGGCACAATTTTGCCGTATATCGATTAGCTTTTAATAGTTCTTAAAATATATTTAAAAATGCAACATACAGTGATCTCACTTTTCATGTTTTCAATAACAAATGAACTAGCTGTGATGTATACGATGTATGGCAATCTGCTCTAGCTATAAAATAAAAACAAAAAAACTCGACGCCAAGGCAACGTTGTATTTGGGTAGAGTTTTCCCCTATAAAGGGGGAGAAGGCAAAGGCCTCGGGTTGCTCAAATTATGGCGAAAATCATCCAACGACGATGGAAAACCCCAATTAATTTCACCAACAACAAGCCCCACCGACGTGCAAGACAGTAGCACAATTACAATTGATAATATTACGAAATAGAAAGGCTTTTAAGTGCTGTAAAATACGGTTTCAAATTTCCAAATACACTGTAGCTATCTATTTCCTCTCGGTCATTAGGCTTCCTCGCAAAGTTAATAGTTGGAATGTTTCTTATCATTGTACAAACTCCGTCTACTATATTATGCTCTTGAAGCGGGTAAGGAGTGAAGACAATTGATTCTCTCTAGTAAAGTGGGTGGGACAAGACTTTTGTCACCCCTCTCACAAGACATGGAGCTCTTTCTGATGGTTCCATATACTCACTCTTATGTAAATCATTATTTTGAAGGAGGCTGGGATATTCCGTGGTATTTAAAGAGAAGGTTGAGTTCTGGAAAGAGGTGAAAAATAATTTATGAGCGTTATCATTCTTATTATGCAAGTGTGGAAGAACATCAGATAAGACATGTTCCCTGAAAAGCATGGCTCTTCAAATGCCTTCATATTCTAAATATGTCATGTAACATCGTATAACTCGGGGGTAGGATTTTTACGCCACGTGTTCGTGTAGTCCCATATACATCTTTCTGTGTACAGTGTTTGTAACTTTACCAAGACTTGGTCAAATTTGTTATCATTTTGATGATTCCAGAACCTTGCAATACACACAAATTCTTATATGCTAGATGATCAACCTTTTCTGGTCGATTCCACACCGTTTCTTTCGAAATGCAATCGCTTGACCAGAACTCAACTTCATCTTTAAACGATACTTGATTACACTTTTCAATTTCACAGAAGCAATAGTTTCGCTCGGTCGCTACATTCCCTCGCGTAATAATAAATTTTCTGTCGAATTATATAATCCTGAACATTATAGAAACACTTTTAAATGAGGTTTATTATGTCTTAAGTAAAATGATAACCTTAAACATGCTTCAATTTGAAATATATTAAATCTGCTTCTGTGTTTTAAAACACATGGTTAAAAAATCCAATACTACCAAATAAAAGGAATGCAAACTATTTTTCTCTTTCTTTTGTTGAAAATTCAAAACGCTATTCTTTATAAATATGAAGAAACATTTGTATGAAAGGAGAAATGGTTACTGAGGAGCCCCCCCCCCCCCCACTCCGGGAACGGAGGGACCGCATTCATGTTCCCAAAATGTACTTTTGAGGCAACAACGTCCGGCTCGTAACACGCAAATAATCAGCTGGTGTTTAATTTTCAAACCAGCTCGATGTAAATGGCTTACATCTCATTTAACAATTTTTGTTTTCTTCTTCAATTCTCTTTTATTTCTTTTGTTCAGGTGAACGACCTAGTCCAGCGATGTGCCACTAAGAAATCAGAACTGGAGAAGAACATTCAGAATGTGGAAGTGCAACGTAATGAAGTATTCACTGCCGTGCAGAAACTACTGAATGATGTCAGTCAAGCCTACAGCATCAAGGCTAAAGAGCTTGAAGAAAATCATCGAAATCTCATCGAGCAAATCAATGCAGTAAAGCGGAATTTTGATGACGAACTCAACGTCTTGAAATCCAAGGATCGACAGAGGATCAAGAGTATTTGTAGTTCAATAACACTGGTAGCTAATGACAGACTGGGTCGTCTTGAGACGGACAGTCTGTCTGCTCATACCTTGCTCTGTGAGGAGCTGGATGCCATGCTGAGGGAGGCTACTGATAACACTTCTGCGGCAGCCATTACGAAGAAAGCACAGGAGACGAGGTTCAAGCCTGCATATGATACTCGTCTTGACCTCGGGAGCATCTCAGAATCAGATCACAAGTTGCAAGTCATTCAATGTGTAGATCTACGGGGATGCATGCATGGAATGACCCAGTACTCTGATGACGGTGTGGCTATCGGATATTGGGATTCACACGATATAGATACCATTGATTCAGCTGGTAAACAAGAGCAGTATGCAAATATACCAACTAATAAGAAGTGTTATGATCTTGTGTTTCAACAAGACAGGTCGTTATGCATATCGATGGGGCCCAGGGAAGTACACATATATTATCCCAATGGATCCAGGAAATCAACTATCCACGTGAATAGCAATTACGATCCTCTAAGATTAAACAGAAGTCCTTCTGATGAAATCCTCATCGCTAACAATGGGAAGAAAGTCTACATCTATGACCCGACTGAATCCACTCTCAAACACACTGTTTCAACAAAACACAACATGACCCAGGTATCTGCTACCAGGTCGGGTTTGATCGTCACGTGTTCATGTTATCCAAGCGTGGTGACAGTCTATGACAGGAATGGGAATGCTGGTAAGTCTCTAGAAGCTCCAAACGATGTCCTCCTGTATGCTGCCGTGGATGAGCAGGACAGGGTGTATGTAGCGAGTGTTGATCGTAAGAAGGGTAACGTGGTGATCAGGCTCTATGACCTTGATGGTCTGAACCTGAAGGAAAGAGTTGAGTTCAATGTACTTAATCTGACGCTTGAAGATCCTTGGTGTTACTTGGTTTCCCTCTCTCCAGACATGCTTGCTTTTGCTCGTCACAGGAAGTTGTATTTTATCAAAGTATCACTGTAATCCATCTCACACTCTATATACCTCTCTGCTCCAGCTCTATTCTAATATGGGCCTATAATGGGTCATATTACATGTATATTGTTTATTATGTGATTACTGACCAAACGAGAAGATGCCCATTCTCAGATAGATTTTACAGTGGACATTATAACAATATAACAATAACGTACGTCCCTCTATCTGAATAGTATGTGCATTCGTAAAATGTACGTAAATTATATACTTCTTGAATTGTTTTCTATTTGATATTTTATTATATGATTGGTACTACAAAATCAAAGATTAATATAGAATACAGAAACACTGTTGATTTTTTTCGATTTGGCTCATTGTTTTGGCGATTTACTCTAATGAGAGCAAAATGAATCTCTGTCGTAAAGCAATATTCGTTGTTATATTCTTTGATTGATATTTAATTTGTTTTTGTGTTTGACAAAGCACATCCTGACTTAAAATTGTACTTTGGAGCCGAAAAGTATTTTTTAAACTTCTGGTATCAATATTCCCTTATCCCTTTTCCTTCGGTTTCATTGTAGCATAATTTAATACTACTTAAAAGTAATTCATAACTTTAGAGACTTTGAATTTGAATGTAAGAGGTATATATATGTTTCCATCGCTTGAGACGCAAAAAAGAGAAGCAAGTGATCTGATATCGTAAGGTATAACTTGAAAATTGATATAATATTGATGAACGTCTCATTGGTGTGATTTATATTATGTCGTCATTCTCAAAGTACATACATGTTTATTTTGTTTTTGTTTCTATTTCTTGATTTTTCATTTAATTAATTTTTTTCTTTAAATGAACAAATAATTAGTACTGACTTTGTAAATGGACCCCCATTGTAGCTGTCAAGGGTCATCCTGTCAAGTTATTGGTATTACTGTTTTGGTTTCATGTCATAATATCATTTTACTCTTTGTAGTTATGCTACATTGAACTGAACTAATACATCAAATCGAATTCGTTTAAAAGCTTTACAGGACCGTGGTGTATTTATTGCTGCATTCCATTAAAAAAATCCTTCGTGTTCATTTTGCACCCTTTCTGGAAAGCCATTAAATGTAATGCTCTGGGGACTGATGATATGACAGATTTGTTTGCTTTCATGTGGAGAAGAACAATGTATAAAGAGACGAAGATGAAAGAGAGAAATGGACGGAGATAAAGGAAGAATAGTCGAAAAGGGGGGGGGGTGTAGTTATAGAGTAGTTGCCGTTCTTAAATCTTTCAAATATATTGTAGTAATGAAAGCAAATCAAACGTCTTGCTATATTATCCAGGATTCTACTAAAGTGGATCTCCAACATAATATTTCAACTACTGAAAGCCTAAACAAGTCGCCCTCTGTAGAAACAATCCCGACCTTAGATTATATTTCTTCATTTTTTTTGTGTTTAGATAATGTCCCTACAACTTCTTCCTGACAAAGTTTGGTGCTTGGGTATAGATGCGGTAACCCAATGTGATCAACTTCCATTCCCTTATCGGGCCCAAACCCGTGGACAATGTTCAGGTTGATATTTTTTAGTAGATGGCATGGATGGTAAGTTTTTTCGGTCAATTGTTATGGGGAAAATTGACGACTATTTCGGGACAGACTACTGGCTCCAGTACGGTTTCTTATAAAGCTTTGTTAAGTACCTTTAAAGAGAAATCCAACCTTTCGATTAAACCACTCTGGATGAAAGGAGAAAAATCAGAAAAGTAGACTGGTGAAAGTTTGAATGAAATTGGACAAATGAAAAAGTTATGAATTGTTTAAAGTTGTAATCACTATAGATATGGGCTCTTCAAATTGGCCGAATCGGTTAGGTCTCTGTGATGTAATGGCGGGCAACTTTCCCATTTGTTCCAACACAGAAAATGACTTTACAAAAATCAAAATATTATGACTATTAAAAGCATGGTTAATTTTCTTGAGAGGACCCATAACAATATGCTATCCATAATATATTTTGAGTAGTGCTCCGAGGGAGAAGGCGCTTAGGCAAAAAACAGGAACATATAGATATTTGGTTAACACGACAAACGGGAGAGTTATTAGTCACTACGTTATAATCCATAGACCAATCTGCCAATTTGAGATACGCTTTTATAAAAATAAACTTATTACAAAGGTTGGATTGCCCTTAAATAAATCGATTCCCCCCCCCCTCTGTTTTTCTTAACTTTGAAAATAGTTATAGAAAGTATGTATACGCTGTAATGTTTATATCATTACATTAACAAGGTTCATTTTCTTTGAATAAACACAGTTTTATTAACATACACTGGATATATTTTTGGAAGATCTAGATTTTACTTGTCTTATGTGATATTGACATCTGTAAAATAAGTGTCCTTTTCTTATTACTGTAAGCCTATACAAATTAAAATCACAAGAATAACACATATTCTGAGTATAACAAAACTACTGGCTCTAATAGCTTAGTCGTTATTGAGGTGATATAAAATGTATGAATGGAAGGTAATATTGATCCTTATCAGCTTTGATCACATTTCCTGTCCATACAGTGTAAAATATTAGGCATGAATAGAAGGGCATATCGAAACTAACAAATCAACATTTAAAAGAGATACATATTCAAGATACTCTTCGACGGAATTGCATGTAATATAGACTTTGGTACAATTAAGATGTATAGGAGAAAGAGAGAGAAAGATAGCTTGAGATAAAGAGAAACAGGGAGAGAGAGAGAGAGAGAAAGAGAGGGAAGAAAATTAGAGTGTATGAGGGAGTGGGAGAGAGAGATAATGAAATAAAGAAAGAAAGAGAGAAAGTTATAACCGACAGAATGATGATAAGAGTAAAATCAATTCGTTATTTCATGGACTCGTGTTGTAAGGTCCATGCAAGATTATTTCAAATAAATCATATTTCGGTGCAATACAGGCTAAAGTGACATGCTCAATTTGGTTTCATTTAACTCATTGATTATCAGCTCGTGAGACAGACATGACTCACATTATCATGGTTAAATGCCTTAATCATGAGAGGAAGTGGTAAAACATTTTTTTCCATCATATTACTGTAAGGAAGGTTGTAGCCTCGCAGCAATCTCTACGCAAGAATTCGAATTATTGACTGACAAATAAAAAGAGAAGTGGAAGTAGATAAATGAAGAATAGTGGAAAAAGAAAAGGGTTAAATATAAGTGAAGTCCTGATCTTCTACCTTCGAGGATTCTACTAGAGTGAATCTCCAGCATATTATTATATCTACCGCTGAACATCTAAATACGTCGCCCTCTATCGAAAAAATGATGAATATACCGCCATCAAGTTCAAAGGTGCTTATACGCTGCGAACGCTCTCTGTGGGAATACCCACTGCTATTTATAGGATGCACAAGTGCACTGTATATATTCACAGTAGATCTACTAAAGTGTGATTTCACTAGTATAACCTTATTTGTATTCACGTACACATTTGAATAGAGAATTAATACTTTTGATCAAAGTTAGGCGCACCTCTTTCGTCACATATTTTAATCAACGTGAGAACTGGGTACAGTACTGCATGCAGTTAGGACGCACTTGTTGCGTAGAGTCGAGTGTTGTTAAAGTCTAGGCCTACTACGTTACTGCATATTATTAGAGCTTGCATGAACTGAGTGTTGGCTTCTAGTACACGTCAGCTGATCAGACTTTTGAGCTTTATTGGATAAGCGTAGAATGAGCTCGTGTTTGTAATAAGTCAGAACTCTAATATTTGTAACAATGGCTGCGAAAACTGAGGAAGCTCCAAGCTCTTCAGAGAACCTGACGTGTCCACTATGTCTTGATATCTTCGACGAGGCAACCATCCTGAATTCATGCGGACACACCTTCTGTCGGAAATGTCTCAAGAACTATGACCTGTCCCATCAGGATCTTGATCACATGATATGTCCTCTCTGCAGGAAGATCACCAAGTTGTCTGCGAACCGTGTTGATGATTTCCTCACCAATGTGACTGTCAACGGACTTGTAGACAATTACCACGCCGAGTGTGGAGGGATGAACGCTGTCCTTGAGATGAGTCCGAAATGCACTGCGTGCATGGTTCAGCAAGATGCTGTTTCATTCTGCTGTACATGTAATAACTACATGTGTGATAAGTGTCTGGATTGTCATCAACATCTTAAAGTCTTCTTTGGAGGTCACGAAATTGTATCCATACAGGATATCACCAACGGGAAGGTCAGCATTGGTCATCTTTCTGAGAAGTGCTGCATCCACAAACAAGAGAACAAAGATATGTTTTGTGAGGACTGTAAGGTCCACGTCTGTTTCAAGTGCGTGATCGTCGGTCATCAAATTCACAAAATCAAGAATCAGGCTGACTTCGAGCAGGAGTTACGGCTAAAGGTAAACGTTGTTTTATTTTAAGTACTGTGGACGCCGGAAGCGGAGAGGGGGGATCGCTTTTGAGGAAAAAAAAAGAAGATTTGTTTAATTCCTTTGCATTATAATAACATTAGAAATGCTCTAAAAGTTAAATTGTCAGCATCCTGCAATAAACTTTTCCCCATTCAGGGTTGATTATGTTTCTAAACCATGTCTACAACACAGTGCGTCCGTTCAGAAAAAAAAACCCCGAGAATAATCGATGTTTTATCATAACTTAATCACAATTATAAACAATAAATCTCACACGTTTGTAAAGCTTAGATCTTCCTCTTTCATTTGATGCAACTCATAAAATGAATACTTCATGAATGAGTGATTTAAAACAATTTGAAGAAAGGGTACTAAAAAGTCGTTTTGGCGGACGGTATCTGAATTTCAAAGAGAAAATCACATTTCCAAAAGGTTCATTTTTTGCCCTTTCATATGACGCCTCAATTTGGAAAAAAGAGCCAGGAATAACAACGTTCCGTTTGTTTAAAGTAATGCTTGCATTTCCATAAAGTTATTAAACGAATTCGTTTTCACTGGCTGTCTGTCCTAACAACGAAGAAGACAAAAAACTTAATGCATGGCTGATCGTCAACGAAACGGAGTTTGTTGTTTGTTCCTACGGCAGGCAGCCAGTGAAAACGAGTTCGTTTTCCAAACTATACTTGATTATAATTTTCAATTTCACACAATCCATTAATGTTTCGCTACACCTCTTCGCGTAACAGTAAACTTTCTGGCCGAGCTATATGATCCTTAATATTTTAAAAACACTGTTACATGAGGTATGTTATGTCTTTATTGAAATAACAACTTTAAATATGCTTCAATTTGCAATATCTTAAATCTGCCTCTGTGTTTAAAACACATGGTTAAGAAAGTCAATACTACAAGAAAAGAAGAGGAAAGCGAAGTCTTTTCTCTTTCTTTTGTTAAAAATTCAAAACACTATTCTTTATAAATATCAAAGAAATTGTGTATAAAAGAAGAAATGGTGCTTGTTGCTTACGAGGTAGGTGGGCTATTTGAAGGTATTAAGCGTAGCTACATTTTAAAGCTCTACATTTATTTTGTAGAAAATAAATTAAAAATTAAAAATTAAAAAAATATTGTACAAAATCTAGAGTGTTTGCCTCCCCCTCTAAAGTTGGAACGGTTCCGGCGCGCCTGGAAGGTTCAAAGGGGTACAATATAATTATGTAGCATCATCTTCATCTCAATTCTGTTCAGTTCAGTTTATTTATTCAACCATTTATAATCGAATATACAAAGCATGTAATATACAAAAGAATACAAAAAAATGGGTAGGATCCCCCAAAAAGAAAGGCTTGATAAAAATTGGAGCAATCGATACATATATATACCCTTTTTTCCCTCCCTGTTTTTTTTTTCTCTCAATCTCTCTCTCTCTCTTCGTTACCTCCTCCATTTTGTGGTTTACCTTTTAAAGGGGTGAAAGGGGCACGTATGCCATTTTTCTGAACTAAAAAAAAACAAAATCCGAGAAAATCATTTAGATAGATGTAAGGAATCAGTGAAACTTCATTACTTTGTATTCGTGAAAAATGTGCCTATAGCAATTGTTATATTTCCATAAGCACTTCGCATCAAAGTCAATACAAAAATATTTGGCTTTGTCTACCATTATCATGACGTTGATGATAATAATTTCTTTTTCATGAATAATAACTAATGATAATAATAATGATAAGTAGAATGAGAATAGTAATTATGACGATGGTAATAGTAATGATGTTAATTAAAATCATCATTATCATCACCATAGTCGGTATAATAGAAGAAGTAGTATCATTATTCTCCTTATTATTATTTTATTACTTTCGATTGTTAAAACTAATAATTTCATCAATCTTTTTATCATGATTATTATTATTATTATTATCATAAAACTATTACTCTTTGGCCTATCTCCATTCTTTTATCTTATATTTCTGCCTCCATAGAAATTAACTTATTACTAGGAATCCAGGAAATCAACCTTCGACGTGTCTGAATAGAATTTGTTTTTTTCTCAGACTAAACAGAAGTCCATTAGAAGAAATCTGTCACACTGAGAAGAGAGTCTTTATCTATATGACCCCACTGGATCTACTCTCAAACACACTGTTCAAACAAAACACAACCATTCTTTTTATTTCTGCTTTCATAGAAATGAACTCATTACAAGGGCTGTGTTCCCTTTTAATGACGCTGAAAAGCAATGTATTCGAATCCGCGGCCCTTATGATTGGGGGGGGGGGTGTCGTGTTTCTTAATCTTGTGGAAAATCAGACGCACGCGAAATCCGGTGTTAATTTTTCAAACCCTCTCCGTGTAATTGGCATACATCTTATTCTACCAAAAAAAAAAATTCTTCTCGTTTCTCTATTATTCGTTTTGTTTAGGTAAACGACCTTGTCCAGCGATGCGCCGCTAAGAAGACAGAACTGGAGAAGAACATTCAGAATGTTGAAGTACAACGCCATGAAGTATACACTGCCGTGCAGAAACTACTGGACGACGTCAGTCGAGCCTACAGCATCAAGGCTAAAGAGCTCGAAGAAAATCATCGAAATCTCATCGAGCAGATGAATGCAGTAAAGCGGAGTTTCGATGACGAACTCAACGTCTTGAAATCCAAGGATCGACAGAGGATCAAGGGTATTTGTAGTTCAATAACACTGGTATCTAATGACAGACTGTGTCGTCTTGAGACGGACAGTCTGTCTGCTCATACCTTGCTATGTGAGGAGCTGGATTCCATGCTGAAGGAGGCTACTGATCACATTTCTGCGGCAGTCATTACAAAGAAAGCACAGGAGAAGAAGTTCAAGCCTGCAGATGATACTCGTCTGGACCTCGGAAGCATCTCAGAATCAGATCCAAAGTTGCAAGTCATTAAGTGTGTAGATCTACGGGGACGGATGTATGGAATGACGCAGTATTCTGATGACAGTGTAGCTATTGGATATTATGATACACATGGTATAGATATCATTGATTCAGCTGGTACAAAGGGGCAGTATCCAAACATACCAAGTAACATGGAGTATTATGACGTTGTGTTTCAACAAGACAGGTCGTTATGCATATCAACGGGTAGCAAAGAAGCACACATATATTCTCACAATGGATCCAGGAAATCAACCATCCACGTGTATAACAGTGGCAATTTTCTCAGATTAAACAGAAGTCCATCAGATGAAATCCTCATCGCTAACAATGAGAAGAAAGTCTACATCTATGACCCGACTGGATCCACTCTCAAACACACTGTTCCAACAAAACACAACAAGACGATCCAGGTATCTGCTACCAGGTCGGGTTTGATCGTCACGAGTACATGTAATTACTCCAAACCACACGTGGTGACGGTCTATGACAGGGATGGGAATGCTGGTAAGTCTCTACAAGCTCCAATCGGTGTCTACCTGTATGCTGCCGTGGATGAGCTGGACAGGGTGTATGTTGCGAGTGTTGATCGTAAGAAGGGTAACGTGGTGATCAGGCTCTATGATCTTGATGGTCTGAACCTGAAGGAAAGAGTTGAGTTCAATGCGCTTAATCTGACGCTTGGAAATAATTGGTGCTACTTGGCTTCCATCTCTCTAGATATGCTTGCGTTTGCTTGTGACAAGAAGTTGTATTTTATCAAAGTATGACTGTAATCCATCTCACACTGTATATTACCATTATTGTTAGTGTGTACACCTCTCTGTTCCAACTGTACTCTATAATATGGGCCTATAAATGTGTCAGTTTATAGTGTTCATTATGTAATAACTAACCGAATGGGAAGATGCTTATTCTCTTGATAGGTTTTAATTGCCTGTATATAGTTGTCATTATCCAATATAATGATAACGTCCCTCTTTCGAAATACTATGTAAATACTTTACGTAAAATAATGCATCTACTTCATGCATTGTGTAATAGTTTCTCGTATTTACTGCAAAAGGTGATACGATATCATTATGTATAACTTGAAAATTGGTAATGTATTGATTAAATTCATATTAATGTTATTTCCCGTATGTTATTAATTATTCTCGAGGTATTTATTTTTAAATGTTTTTTCTTGTATTTCTTGACTTTTATGGTAATTATTTCGTATCTATAAATGAACAAATAATTAATACAGACATTGCATGTAGATAGGACCCAATTGTAAATAAGCTCTTAAGCTTTCACGGGTTATACTGTCAGGCTATTGGTATTATTTTTGTTGTTTACATTTATGATATCATTTTACTCTTCGTAAGGATGTTACATTGAAGTTGCCTAATAAATCAAATCAAATCTTTAAAAATCCTTAGAGGTTCACGGTTGCTTCGTTCCATGAAAAAAAATCCTTCGTACCCTGTCTGAAAAGCCATTAAATTGAAAGCTCTGGGAGCTGCTAAAGTTTAGTTTGTTATGATGTAGAGAAGTTCTGTTTCCTGACTAAGTAATGTAAGAATATTATTATATTTTTGTAAACGTTTACTGCATTTTTGTTATAACTAGTAATGTCACTTCGCATTTTCATGTTAATTCGGAAGTTTTACTTTTCATAATAATTTCCGCTTCAATTCAATTTATTTATTATGTTAAATTATATTAAATTGAATTCAATTTATACAGATATTCTGATAACCGCATCTCGATGGAAATTGTTGTTTATTTTTATTTATTTTTATTTTTAAGAAAGTAAATTCTTATGGAGCGACTATATCGATACAGACTCTTGGTCTCTATATACTGTTTTGTACACAGTTCGTAAAGAACCTTTACCACATGTCTCATAGTTCGTATTTTGTATTTTCCTCTTTTGCTTCTTATTTTTTTTAATTAGAAAATAGTTATAGTAAGTTTGTATACGTTTTAAACCTACCCTGTAATAACATGTACATTTGTACATTATTTTTGTGTATGCACATGGTAGTGTTGATTGACACTGGAAGAGTCCTTTAATGGTTGACAAAGAAAGGGAAAGAAAGAGAAAAATGGAAGGAGATAAAGGAAGAATAGTGGAGGAAGAGGGGGGTGAAAAACAAGTGAAGATACCGTCCTTTACTCTTTCAAATATAGTAATGAAATCAAATAAAATGTCTTGCTCTATTAATTATCCAAGATTCTACTAAAGTGGATCTTCAACATAATATATGCACATACAAATTGAAAGACGATTTACTCAAGTGTGATTTTACCATTGTAACCACGTTACAGTGGCGGATCCAGGGGGCGGGGGCCCGGACCCCCTCCCCTGGGGGAAAAAACGTGTAAAAACACGTTAATTTTATCTTTTCTTTGGAGATGGGCCCCCTCCCTTGGCGCTCAACGGGGGAGGGGGTGCGATTTTTCAGATTTGCGAGGGCCCATAAACAAATTGTGCTCACTTCCTTTTTCTCGTTCTTTTATTTCATTTGTAGATATTTAGGGGTCAGAGAATGCAAGGTGGTGTAGAAATAGGTAATTTGATCCTTACCAGCTTTTATCACATTGCTTGTCCATACGCTGTAAAGTATCTCGTCATATTTCTTAGCATTCTCGTTCGTTTATTTAATTTCTTTAAATATAATTGAGGTGGGGTCTGATAACAGCATCTCGATTGACAATTGTTGTTAGTTTACGTTTTGGTGAAGTAAAGTCATACAGCTTTCATTCAACGATTTCTGGTGAATGAGCTAGATTTGGTGAAATAAGCCACTTCGGAGATGGCATTTGTTAAATAATATGACCCCTAAATATCCACAGATCTTTGATACAGGGAGACGTCCAACTCTGGAGGTGCTTTATGATTACATTTTGTTTGCCTACTGGAATAGAATAGTTCCTACTTTGTATCAGAGAAGCCTGTGCATAAATGAATAATGATTAAAAAGCTTTCATGAACACGTTTGACAATTTTGTATCAACGACCTTTATCTGCCCATGCGCAGATAATATAAATTATACGCAAGTGGTTATTGACCCGACCACGGGGATACATTAATTTCAGACGGCCGCCAAGTTGACAACCCGTTCGAGGCCGATTTTTTTTTTTTTTTTAGCTTTTCGTTTTTTTGGAAAAGTGTAGTCATGTGTTTTTCTTGTTAGGCCTACTAGGCTGTAAATCGGTCGATACATTGATCCGAGTTTGGGGGCCTATGGGGGGGAGGGGGGTGTGGGAGGTCTGAAAACTAATCCCGACCTTCGATTTTTTTTTCTCGGGAACTCTGCATGGGGACCAAACCCGAGGACAATGTTTAGGTTGATGTTTTCTTCGTAGATGGCATGAATGGTCTAAGTAACTTTGTTTGGTCAATTCTTACGAGGAAAATGGGGCGACTATTTCGGAACGAACTATACAAGCCCCTGTACTGTTAAGTACACATTTTGTTAAGTGCCTCGAATGTAAGCCTACTACCTTAATTTGATATCAAACCACTTTAGAGAAAAGGAGAACAATCAGAGAAGCTGACTGTTGAAAGTTTCAATGAAACTGGACAAAATCAAAAAGTTATGATTTTGTTAAAGCAGTAGTCACTATAGATATGGGCTCTTCGAATTGGCTGAATCGCTAATGTCTCTGGGGTGTTGAATCGGGAGGCTTTCCCATTTGTTCCAATACAAAATAACTATTTTTGTTTAAATCAACAAAATTGTGATTCAGTCTATTCTCTTAAGAGGGCATATAACAATATGCTATCCATAATATATTTTGAGTAGTGCTCCAAGGGAGAAGGCGCTTAGGCGTAAAACAGGAATATATATATATATATATATATTTTAACACGACAAACGGGAGAGTTATCAGTCACTACTTCAAAATCCACTGACCAATCTGCCAATTTGAGATATGCTTTCATAAAAATAAACTTATTACAAAGGTTGGATTGCCCTTAAACAAATCGATTTTTTTCCCCTCTGTTTTTCTTAACTTTGAAAATAGTTATAGAAAGTATGTATACGCTGTAATGTTTATATCATTACATTAACAAGGTTCATTTTCTTTGTATAAACACAGGTTTATTAACATACACTGTATATATGTTTAGAAGATCTAGATTTTACTAGCCTTATGTTATATTGACATCTGTAAAATAAGTGTCCTTTTGTTATTACTGTAAGCCTATACAAATTAAGATCACAAAATAGCACATTCTCTGAGTATGACAAAACTACTGATTTCAATTGTTTAGTCGTTATTGAGGTGATAAAAAATGTCTAAATGGAAGCTGACGTAGAATTAGGTAATATTGATCCTTATCAGCTTTGATCACATTTCCTGTCAATACAGTTTAAAATATCAGGCATGAATTGAAGGGCATATCAAAACTAACAAATTAATATTTAAAAGAGATGCATATTCAAGATACTCCTTACAGAATTGCACGTAATATTGACTTTGATACAATTCAGATGTTTATAGGAGAAAAGAGAGGAAGACAGCATGGGGTAAAGAGAAACAGTGAGAGAGAGAGAGGAAAAATAGAGTGTGTGAGGGAGAGGGAGAGAGAGATAATGAAACAAAGAAAGAAAGAGAGAAAGTTATAACCGACAGAATGATGATAAGAGTAAAATCAATTCGTTATTTCATGGACTCGTGTTGTAGGGTCCATGCTAGATTATTTCAATTAAATCATATTTCGGTGCAATACAGGCTAAAGTGACATGCTCAATTTGGTTTCATTTAACTCATTGATTATCAGCTCGTGAGACAGACATGACTCACATTATCATGGTTAAATGCCTTAATCATGAGAGGAAGTGGTAAAACATTTTTTTCCATCATATTACTGTAAGGAAGGTTGTAGCCTCGCAGCAATCTCTACGCAAGAATTAGAATTATTGACTGACAAATAAAAAGAGAAGTGGAAGTAGATCAATGAAGAATAGTGGAAAAAGAAGGGGTTAAATATAAGTGTAGTCCTGATCTTCTACCCTCGAGGATTCTACTGGAGTGAATCTCCAGCATAATATTATATCCACCGCCGAAAACCTAAATAAGTCGCCCTCTATAGAAATAATGATGAATACCGCCATAAAGTTCAAAGGTGCTTGTACACTGCGAGCGCTCTCTGTGGAAAAACCCACTACTATTTATAGGATGCACAAACTGCATATATATGCACAGTAGATCTTCTCAAGAATTCATACTTTTGATCAAAGTTAGCCACCTATTTCGACACAGATTTTAATCAACGTAAGAACTGGATACAACTGCATGCAGTTAGAACGCACTTGTTGCGTAGAGTCGAGTGTTGGTAAAGTCTACTATGTTACTGCATATAGTTAGAGCTTGCATAAACTGAGTATTGGCTTCTTGTACACATCAGCTGATCAGACTTTTGAGTTTTATTGGACATAAATTGAATATAGACGTAGAATGAGCTCGTGTTTGTAATAAACCAAAAATCATAATATTTGTAGCAATGGCTGCGAAAACTGAGGAAAAGAAAGCTCCAAGCTCTTCAGAGAACCTGGCGTGTCCACTATGTCTTGATATCTTCAACGAGGCAACCATCTTGAATTCATGCGGACACACCTTCTGTCGGAAATGTCTCAAGAACTATGACCTGACCCACCAGGATCTCGATCACATGATCTGTCCTCTCTGCAGGAAGATCACCAAGTTGTCTGCGAACCGTGTCGATGATTTCCTCACCAATGTGACTGTCAACGGACTTGTAGACAATTACCACGCCGAATGTGGAGGGATGAACGCTGTCCTTGAAATGCGTCCAAAATGCACTACTTGCATATTTCAGCAAGATGCTGTCTCATTCTGTTGTACATGTAATAACTACATGTGTCATAAGTGTCTGGATTGTCATCAACATCTTAAAATCGTATTTGAAGGTCATGAGATTGTTTCCATACAGGATATCATCAACGGGAAGGTCAGTATTGGTCATCTATCCGAGAAGTGCTGCATCCACAAACAAGAGGACAAAGATATGTTTTGCGAGGATTGTAAGGTCCACGTCTGTTTCAAGTGCGTGATCGTCGGTCATCAAATTCACAAAATCAAGAATCAGGCTGACTTCGAGCAGGAGTTACGGCTAAAGGTAAACATCGTTTTATTTTAGGTACTGTGGACGCCGGAAGCGGGGGGGGGGCAGAGGCGGCTGATACAATAATGCAAGTGGGGTGGGGGCTCGCTTTGGGGAAATGATTTCTTTAATTCATTTGCATTATAATAACATTACAAAGGCTCTGAGTGAAATTGTCAGCATCATGCAATCAACATTTCCCCACTCAGGGTTAATTATGTTTCTAAACCATGTCTACAATAAAGGCACTGCAAGAAAATATGTAAATACTCTTACCTTTTTAAACTTTAGGACAAAATGAGATCCCCCCCCCCCCCCCTTGACAATAAATATTTTGTAGCAAAGCCCTAACAGCAGATTAGACCTGAAATGCAGAATTTAACAATTCCAATACCTAGTTATTGGTCGCTACCGTCCATTACAAAATATAGAAGCAAGTGTAATCCTACATTTATACTGTAGAAAGCATGTCTCCAAGAGGCAGCAAAAAGCTTAGGGGGTGTATAATTCCCTCTATCGGCTGTAGAGCTAACTTGATTCTTACCCCCCCCCC